ATGTATATCTATGTATTCAGAAATATATAGGTATGCTTATCAGCAGTCTGGTTACGTTAGCACAGGCTATGCCTATGCTATATATATGGCTATGCCTGTTTAGGATCAGTAGGTCATGTGTGAGATATGTGTGAGGTTATTATTGTCATTATTATAAAAAAGGAATATTCTTAAAGGATAGCAACAAAAAATTAAGCGAGCAAAGCCGATAGCTAGAGTTATTAGACTATAATGTCGATTACCTTGACATGACAATACCATTCTAATTCTGATTATAATTATATTTGTTTTGCAATTAAGTATTTAAATATCTAACTATCTAAATGGATCTAATTTCTCTATTAGCTCACAGATAATAAAGCTTTTACTCGTTAGTAATTTTTGCACTATAATATATATAAATAAATAAGAAAGATTGTGTGTGAGATAGTACGTATAGAAGTATAGTCCATCTTAACCAATGAGGAAGTAAATATATATGGAGTGGCCCTATTCTACTATACTAACAATACATTATGCAAATATATAAAAGTCGACACATATACACCAAAAAGCATTACGTCTCCTTTTTACTTATGTAAACCTTAGTGAGAAAAGAGAGATAAACATAGCTAAGTGAGTACTCATTTTGGTAACACTTTCGATTGACGTCATGAACTTGTCAATTCGTGACCGCCGTCGCCATTTTAGGTACCAAGTTTTGAGACATATCTGCTGTCAAACGGTTGTTGTTGTTTTGTTTTTTTTTTGTTTTCGTCCACATTACGGCTGTAAACTGGTTTTTATTGTATCCAAGGCTTTGCCCTAGACGGGATAATCATGCCCTCGTGCTCTATTAAAGAGTGTGGTGCAAGAAAAAACAATAATCGTCCTACATTGACTCTTCACAGGTAAGTCATAAATTTTCATTGATATTGTTCAATATTTTAGGATTTTGTTTAATCCTAAAATATTATAATTTGTGTATTAAAGATGATCTTTTTGAAATTACTGAACACGTTTGTTGGTTTTCGAGATTTGCAATGGTGTTATTTGCTTTGTTTGACTTTGATTTGTTTACATACGATTAGGGGTAGTGAAAAATGAAAGTATCGAGTCAAGTATCGATACTTTCATTTTTACACGGAAAAGAATTATTAAAAATGGTTTTTACCTCATCAGATTTCCTGTAAATGAAATTTTGAAAAGAAAATGGATCAATATCACTGGTTTGGAAAACATAAACCCTCGACATACAATGTGGTATGTGTGATGATATAAAAGAAAATGATGATGCTTGATGCACTTCCACGAAACATCCTTCAACAGAACTCTCGGCGTGACGAGATTACGTGACTGTGCAGTGCCCTTATCTTCGCTACAGGTTGGTATGGTATTTTATTTTAAATATAATAGTGATGTGATAAGCTCATCAGAATGTAGATAATAGGATTTACATCAAATACTAGTCATTCCCCGCATTCTACAAAGAAAAGTTAGGAGTTTAAAAGAAAAGGTCCGGAGACGTGATCAAAAGATTGCCCGATGCTCTGAAATCATCAAGCATCTTAAGGAAAAGATATTCATCAACACTGAAGAAAGTCTCATTTTGGAAGAATGTGCAGGACCTGAAGATTTTCTAACAAGGCAAATTTCAAAATCTAGAGGAGCACAACATAAATCACAGACTTGTTACTTATTAAATCTGTTATTAAAGGTTTTATTGATTTAAGGTTCCGATACCATGCAAAAAAGGTCATTGCATGGTTTCTTTTAGAAACTACTAGCTGATCCGGCAAACGTTGTATTGCAAAACAAAAAGAAATTAGGGATGGGACACCCTTACCATTTAGGGGTATGAAAAATAGATGTTGGCCGATTCTCAGACCTACCCGATGTGCACACAAAATTTCATGAGAATCGGTCAAGCCGTTTTGGAGGAGTATGGGAACGAACATTGTGACACGAGAATTTTATATATAAGATTTAATATATAAGTTAATTTAGAATAGATTAGATCCATCCTGGCGGATTCAGATTTAAAAAATCCTACCATGAATACCTAACTAACACCACAACTAAAATTATTTAATGCTATCGATATTTCTTCAATTCATTTAATTCACTAAAATATGGATATCGGCATTTTGAGTTGCTCTACATAAGACAACCCTAAAGGCAGCCATTTTATGCGCCAACTTTTTGTAGGTAAACCATTGATATAATAGTGTTGTTTTAACTCAATGAGGTAAACACGATAATTTTGTAGATACGGCTAGTCCATGTATTCTTAGGTCAATAATCTAAACTAAGAGGTACCATTTGAGGTTTCATACTTTTCAAGCCGAAGCAACTTTGTAATGGCGTAACTCACACAAATATTATAAAAAATCCGTAAAACTATGGCATTATAAAGCAATATCTGTTTTATCACAAGATGTATAATTTTTAATAACTAAATTTAACTTTAAATCTTTTAAACAAAGCATATAATAGATAGGTTTTTTAGACTTCATTTCAAAGTCACGTAGGTATGTCTTTTACCGTAGTGTTGTGACTCTTCAAATTCACTTGTATTCGAATAATCGCTAAAATGTACGAAACATCGATTTTATAAATAACCTGCCATTTTCAATCCAGACCTCTTTTAGTCCTTAAGCCTGCACCAATGAAGTTAGCTGCAAATCGAGTATTCTTTACTACTTCTACTTCTTTACATCTTATCCGTCAATTAAAAAAAATACATACAGTGGAACATAGAACCTCCTCCTTTTTTGAAGTCGGTTAAAAATAAGAGTGTATGTTTTTTTTGTATGTCTTTCATTTACGATTTTATTAACTGTAGTTTATTTCTATTTAAATAATGTTCAGTGTTTCGTTAATACCATAATAACTATGTGCAGTTGAATACTGACACTTGAAGAATCATGCAGGGCAGTTACTAATAATAACTTTTCCGTGCAGAGATACATCAGTAATATTTTTATTAGTAAACTAGCTGTCACGAAGTCACGACAGATTCTGCTTAGTTATTTTTCTTCGAATGTCTATAAAAAGAAGTAAATATTTATTTTTAAAAATAAGACCGCCCATTGTAGTATAGCCACCGTGTGATTTATTTAATACAAAATTGTAAGTATATAATAAAAAATATTTTATTCTTTTGTTAATGTTATTTGTGAATTTATGTACTTATTTGTGTATGTGTTTTATTGTATAAAATGTACAAAAAAAAACTCCACTCTGAACTTTCGCGTTCGACATATCATTATCACGATGACTATGACCTCTGCCAGTGCAAACGGCAATGACACGGCCAGTCGGAAAGTAGTTTTAGTAGCAGTCGGCAGAAATTTTCATAACCTTTACAAAGATCCTGCTGCAGCAAAACACTTTGCGGCTGAATCCCGGACTGATTCTGGAGGTCGTCCTTTTGATTCTTGAATATGCTGACGTCAGCTATCTATATATATCTGTCTCCAAAATTTTTACATACAATTCACATTTGGACTAGCAAATATGATTATGTTTCCCACTTTCGTATGAAACTCAATTGCCTTCCAATCCGCTATCGCTGGAATACTCATATCATACTTTGAAACACATTTGAAATGCCCGAGGTCTTCTAAAGACCTGAAATTAACAATACCAAGGCATTCCACCAATTTTTACTATTTACTACTACTACTTACTATCAGACATGCGCACTTTAAGATTGTTTTTATTAAAAATGTGTATCCTGTTATTGTCGTTTATTAGTAATTGGTGTTTCGGTGTTCACCTGACATTTAAACCGGTTTAAATGTCAAAGCATTTGATTGAATAATCGATGATTACATACATACATTTAGGCTCGTAACTCTTGCTATTGACTATGAAAATATTACTTAGTACATTTGGAATTGAACTTTTAGTATTTCGGTCTACAGCCGATGCACGTTTCTTTGACGGAACCAGGACCAAATTGTTATGATATATACATATCGTTATACTCACTTCATTACCCGTCTAGGGATAAATAGGGGACTGTTAAACGCCCACATAATGCTAACTATAGTAAAAATATAGTTTCTTTTACTTAATACAAGGCAAGCCTGTTGCCATCGACTGGCAATATATGCATAGATAAATCCGCATAGATAAATCCGACACCGATACAATTCTTTTAGAACTTACTGTTCTAAAAAAATTGTTTTAGAAAAAGTTTAATACACAAAAACAGTAAGTTCTAAAAAATTGTTTTAAATAATCACAAATTGTGTAAATAATCTTAAAAGTCCAATTTCTTGAAAATGGTTATTTTTTGAGTTATTTTATCAGAAATTATGGCAACTACAACCCCTAAAATTATTTAGGTCGACATACCCAGTAACCCTTATATTAGATGAATACCTAATAGTAGGTGTAATGTAATCTAAATAAAAATTCATAATATATCAAATTCAAATTAAATTTCTTAATAGTTGGTAATCAATTTTATAAATTTTGTAAAATTACCACAACAGTAGATAGTTTCGTCAATGCAAATGTCAATGTATTACCGATCATTCCTTGGACGAGACTTGTGAAAAAAAATGGAGCCAACTGATACACGGCCACACTTTGTATATGTGTATTTAATAATTTAATATGTATTTAAATGATCTTATTTAAATTAATATTAATGAATTAAATTTTTAAACTACATTTTCACGAATCAACGGTTTTAATGCTTTTGTAACTTTATGATAGACATTTTTAGTAATAAAGAACGTTTGATTAATATTACAAATAACACAATAAACCTCTTCTCGTTTTTCATTCATCATTTAAGTATATAAAAGTGATGTACCTACACAGTGTAATTATATTATTCGAATAGAAATATACAGCGCAACTAATGATATACACTGTACCCAACCCGTGTAACAATCTATAAATTATAAATAAAAATAAGTACTTAATGAATTTTAAAAACGTTGCACTCAAAATTATCAAAATAAAGTTTAAATATAAATTAAATACACCTAAGTAAAACTTACCCCATCATCCAAATCGATCTTCATTTTATTACGAAATAATCACTTTTTCGAAACAAACACGAACAAATTTTAAATCTTTTTTGAAAATAGAACACTAATGGCGGGAACTTATAGTAACGCGTTCACCTGTAATGATAGGTAAACGAGATTGATTATAGTCTATGCGTCCGCAGATAAAATGAAAATGGCAAGAGACAATCCAATGTCAAGGTTATTGATCAAGATTATATCAACGTTGACTAATCTAAATAAGTTTATGTAAACGAATCGTTCATTAAACCGAAATCGATTAAATTGTGATCTCATTTGTTTGATTTTCTACGCTATACACTTTTTAGTAATTCTTTCGAAAATAAGGACTAAAAGCAACTGGAACATTTGAAACCGCAGTTAAGTATTTTTTTTACAAAAAAGTCTTATCGACGTTTAAACATTATTAAGACCACATTATATAAAACGTACTTGAAATTGATGTTTGTTGAACTGGACTGCCGAATAAGTAGAAATATGGCACGTTTCTTCGACTATTATTTTTATTGCGACTCAGACGACATTCTTAATTTTGCTTTTAGTATATTTTGTTATAAATTAGCAAATCGTAAAACTTAATCAGTATTTCGAAATTATCGTTCACACTACCGATATGTCTGACCGGCAAGACGCCTGCCTTGTTAATTAGGCAAATTATTTAAATTTTGGCTTTTTTTTCTTTGGTTTCTTTGGTAGATGAATGATCGAAGTGGTACTCCTGGTAACGTCAATAAATTAAGACCGTAACTTGTTTACACTGTAGAGCACTTTAAAACAATCACTACATTGGTTATTTTCGATCTAAGACAAATTTAATTTATTGAAAAGAAAAATCTGGAAGTGTTTTGAATGTTATATTTGAATTTGAGTATAATATAGTTAGTTATTACCGCGACAATTGTCTTGTCACAGTAGTTATTGTACAAGAAATAAAATGTTAAATAAATTATAAAATATCAATGCTACATTATTACACGTTACGTTACTTGATTGCTGTGTCAGCTATACTTGGTATATGGAGTTGCTATGTTGGTAGTTACACGTTTATACACAAACTTTGGAATTGTAATTTACTAGCTCTTCTAACCTTCTTAGGGTTTAATTAGACGGTTATTTTATTTATACTACAATTATTTAATAAGTAACATCACTGGGGTCAATCAATTGTATGAGTATGTATGATAATATGAGTATGTATGATAATGTATGAGTATATGTTTATGTGTGTGGTATTACGACGTATACACCAAATTCCAAGATAGTTGGTATTTAACAAAACCACTATCGTTTATTACCCTACCATAAATGCACCTACCTCATTCTTTCTCAGCACCGCCCAATCGGTCGACTGGCAGAGAATGCCTTAGGCATTAAGTCCGCCGATGCATGTACTTGTGCAAAAGTTATAAATAAATAAAAAATTGTTCCCGTTATCTGGTGCCAACCTATCTTACCTGTATCATATCGTTTGGTTTTATCCCTTGGATGGTTGAAGTTCTTATCATTAAAAATGAATTTAAAAAAAAGCAAAATAATAAAGATGAATTATTCTATTATTATACTACTTTTCCTCGCATCTCCGCCCGCGTGTTTGTTGGTAATCGCGGTAAAAAGTAGTCTATGATTGTATTTATTTGGACAAGGATTAATATTATGTTTATAACACCACCTTAGCAAGTAATAATAATTTTAGAACCAATTTGATTACCATAAAATGGTTATAGTTAGTCAACTTTAAAAGATAGATATATGCTGTCGCGGATTTTTTTAGAATTTTTAAATGGGAATAATTCTGTCATACATGATTTTTGCGAAACTTTAGCCTTTTACTTTTAAAAAGAATCATTTTCCCCTGTTTTTGCAACATTTTTCATTGATGCTCCGCTCCTTTTTATCGTAGCGTGATTGTATCTAGCCTATAGCCTTCCTCGATAAATGGGCTACCTAACACTGAAAGACTTTTTCCAATCGGACCAGTAGTTCTTGAGATTAGCGCGTTCAACCAAACAAACTAACTCTTTAGATTTATAATGTTTGTATAGATATGCAATACTAAGCTAAGTATTTATGGACATTTGTGAAAAGTATTTTAAGTATATCCTAAGGTCATTCTATAAAATGCTTCACACGTATATCTTTTCAAACAATTATGATTGTAACGTTAATTTTTGTTTCCTTTTTCCTAAAATCAGATTTTCTTAAAAAAATATTAAAATAACTAGCAACGCACGTTGATTAATTTAGCTGTTAAAACTTCTCTTCGCCATTTATAATGTACTGTAAGACATAAATAAATCTATTGTAGTCATTTTTATTTTGTCTTAAATCTATGGTTGGTACCTTACCATGTAATTAAACGCACAGTTAAGCCCTGTATCCAAATTAAATGCCAGTAGAAAGCTAAGTTTAAAAAAACTTGTCCGCAATCTTGGTATAATTTATTAAATTCTCAATTTAATGAAATAAAAAAATTGTATATTGAAGATAAATCTGTAGACGTACATACATATCGATACCTAATCTTATTAGATTTCATTTATAACAATATTTTAACGTAATAAAACATCCATCATTGGCCTATCGTAGTCCACTGCTGGACATAGGCCTCTCCCATTGCACGCCACTTAGACCGATTTTGGGCTTTTCGCATCCTGCTTCTGCCAGCCATCTTGCGCAATCATCATACTTAGCAACATATATTTAGTAAGATTTTTTTTAACGTCTATAATAGATAATGTGAATCTAATATTGAACACTTCTACATTTTTTTATCTCATATTTACGGCAATCAGTCGCACCCATTTAAGATTTTATTGTTTTCGTTGTGATCGTGAATGGCAGAGAGGTTATAAAATTCAAATAAAAAATAAATATTGCTGGTGTGGAATAACATCTGAGTAGCTTTGGGACAAAAAACGATTGGTGAAGATTTATGAGCAGGCCAAGCAACGCCGAACGCGGTTGCCGTGACGACGAGTTAACGTGAAATAAACTCACACTAGGCCCAGGCACTCAGATGCTACCTGGTATTATATTAATACGTGAGATATCAAATGTTACACGTCACATGGCACTATTATAAAGCTGGCTGTTTTTTTTTGTATTCGATACCATCTATTGACAACAACGACTACTCAATAGAGGTGAGTTCTCAGAGATCGATTATGACAGTTGTAAACATTAAATATCGCCTAATTATACGAATGGGATATTTTAGGGTGCAATGTTATTACATTATAAAAAGTATACTCGTACATACATATGTAATTATATTTTTTATATAATGCAAGTACATAATGTACAATACCAGTAAAACCAGTATCATAAAACCTGTATAGGATAGTCGGCAACAAAATTGTATTTATCGATTTTAGAATAAAATTAAACAAAGTCTGTTGTGTTAGTGACTTTGTTCTGTTCAAAGTTATTGGAAACAAAAAACGTATTACAGGGCAATTTTTTATGGAAGATAGGGCAAACGAGCAGACGGGTCACCTGATGGAAAGCGACTACCACCACAAATGAACCCCTGCATTTCACGAGTGACAAGCGCGTTGCCTGCCTTTGAGGAAAGAGTACGCTCTTTTCTTGAAGGTCGTTCAAAATAGATTCATAAATTACTCATTATTGTGGTATTATGTAAGATATAAAAATGATTACTGTGGGTTATCCTTAGGAGATAGACATATACCATTGTAGACTATTTTGTAAATCTTTTTAAGATTTACAATTCCGTAGTACATTATTTTGATGTATCTCTTAAGGTTTAGCCAGCGTTTGCAATGTAAACGCACAAAAACATGGTATTTTCGACTTCGAATTTTAAATCTTTGAAATTCTCGGATTTCCTCTTCCATAACATGCATGAATACCAAAACACCCACCTCTTAAATCAGTTTCTATATTGGTGAAAACCGTATTAAAATCCATCCAAAGATCTAAGCGTACAAGAAAAAAACCGACTTCATTTTATACTATGTTAAGGTAGATAGATAGATTCATTTAATTTTATTGAAAAAAAAAAAAATACTTTGCATAAGTCTTTGTGCTTTGACATCCAGTTTAAGTTCAATAACTTACCCGATATATAATATAACATACCCGAAATATAAACGATTGAGCTTTTTTTTTTACAAACATCTTTTTTGGGCGATTCAGACGCGGCCATTTTGGCGCGTATTACAAATAGTTCGACGACGCAGAGTTTTTGGTTCACAAAGTTCAAGCGAAAGTGAGTGATAAAATCAACTTATTAACCATGGAAAAGCCCAGAAAAGTTTATTATAGATATTGTGTCTTTCCTACGTGCCAAAATAACATCAAAACTACACCTGACAAGTATACCTTATGTCGAAAGATTCAGGTATAAGGAAAAAGTTTTGCGAGGCTATTGGAAGAGACAAGACTAGTTTTAGCTGTTTATACTGTTGTGAAGATCATTTTTAATTAATTACCTGTCCTTTTTTACAAACTTCGACGAAAACATAACCTAGTTTACAAAGAGTTCATAAAGATTTATTTATTTATTAGTTTTATTCTTTCACAATACATTTCATGACTATGTTGTATTCTTAAGAGTTATATAAGTATGGATGTGTATAATAAGCCACGAAACATGTTCGGCTAGTACTCAAAATAATTATCCCCAATATCTAATACATAGGCAACCTAACCTGTCCATAAGAGTATTGCCTATGCTTGCCTATGAATGAAAACATACACCTATTCCGTGCCTAACTGTTCTAGACAGGAAGTTCAGTTCAGGAAGTTCTAAACTATTTTTATTTACCTTTCTAATTTTATTCCTAGGTTTCAGATTGATATAATACATTGCACGTTATTTAACTCAATGTATGTATATTACAATTTATATATTACAATATAAACAATTTAAATATGTAAACATTTATATATTTAGTTATAAATAAACACGTCTATTTAAGAAGATCATCTGATTGTGCTTTAACAAAACCGGTTTCAGTGATTGTGTTAAG